ATAGAAAAGGAAATCTATATCCAGATAAGGCATGCTATGTGATAACGGAGGTCGGGCCAGTAGGGGAGATCCTTGAGCCTAAGGAATTAAGAGGACAATTCCGTAATGCGATCGGGGCCCCAGTAAGAGATAAATTGAACCCAGCAATCCCTAACTAGAAAGAGGTACCAGAGAACACAAAGAATGCACTATGGGATAGACAGCTGAAGCTCAATTTTAGATTTTCGGAGGGTAAGCACGAATTGGTAAAAAAATGCTTTCAAGATGATGGGAGAGTCATTCTAATGTTGGAGGTCGGAGCTCAACACGAAGTATATCCAAAAGGGGTTAACTCCCTTCAATGAGTTCGGCAAAATAACTCCTAGTCAATAGGAGGAGCTCGTGGCTCAGAAGACTTCACCGGAGGCATTGGAGCTCAGTGCCCGTAACACCGAGCTGGCGAAGAGGAACAAACACCACCATCATCTAGGCCCTGGTGGCTACTATGCCAAGGAAGAGCAGTTTAGGAAGATGGACGAAGAGGCCGCAGCTGCTGGGAATATCGATGTGACTAATTTGTAGGTACGCTCAAGGAATTGGATATATACGAGGAGTATAGAATCATCCGGCGGTAATCTTAAGTTTGATAAGCCGGAGACCCAAGAGGTAGTATCAAGGATACTGAAATATGCTAAAGATAAGGAAAAGGGCTCATTCAATCCTTCTAGAGAGAGGGACGAGCTTAGCCTTGGCTTGGGAAACAAGGAGCACACAGGCCGCACCAGGGGGCTAGGGAAAAGGACGACCTGGAAGTAAGGATTCGAAGAGGACAGGCACATGTACAAGAAACATGGCAGAGACCGAGAGACTAGTCTTGAGCTCCAAGTGAAGGCGCTAGTTGCGAAGGCGCTGGAGGAGCAAGGACTGTCTACGGAGCCATGGATATTAGTGACGCCACCGGGAGAACTGGCATTAGTTGGCAGCCCTCCGAAAGTTCCTAGCAGCCAAGGTTCCACTGCAACCACAACCCCCGTCGATCGTATACGGGAACCAACTAGTTGCACCTTGGTGTTTCTCAGTGGCCGGCAGAACACTGTGATGGAGGTGGCAACGGGTGTGGCACATCCTTCCGGTACCTTACACCACAATAATAAGATACCGTCGAACTACACTAGGGTCGAGGTACATACAGTGAAGCCCGAGTTCATGTAGTGGAGGATAGACTACGCAACTCCTGAGGGACTGGTGTTACTCGGAGACGTTATGGGGCAGTTCATCCTCTGGCACAAACGGAACATTATATTGACCGCTTCTTCGCCGCCTCCCCCTCTCCCAAATTTAGAGCGAGTTGTTGAGGTCGGGGAGATATTTTCACCGTCTCGTGACCACCACAATCCTGAGATGCCACATTCTTCCCCACCTCCTAGCGAACATGTGCCTGATGAGATGCCACAACCTTCTCCAGCTCGTACCGAGCAAGTGCATCATGAGATACCACAGTCTTCTCAACAAACACAGCCCATACATGAACAACGAGTGCCTCCTGAAGAAGGTGATGCACAAGAAGATGAGGACGTGCCTGAATGGGAACTTCGAAAGAAGCATCCAATCACCATAAGGCCAGTTTATGTTCTGATCAAAGACGTCTCATCGGTGTCCAAGTGGTTTTCCCATGACCAGTTCAAGCCTGAGAACCAAGTTAAAAAAGTCCCATCACAGGGTTTTGAGGAGGCCGTCACTAGCAAACTTCACCAAATTGCAAAGCAGTATCCAAATGTTGATGACATCAAATGGTCAAAGGATTGCCCGAAAACATATGAAAGAGGCAAGCCCTTCCTACCAAACTGGGACATCCAGCGCCTACCACTTGGAATGAGAAGGTTCTATGATCGGTACTTGCGTGTTCTCCCAACGAGCATAGATCTCAAACAAGCATGCTTTTCCACCGGCATATTTGGAAGCCCAGTCAGGAAAATTATCTTTGACTTCAATGACATGCACACATGCTTTCACCTGGGAGAAATGGAGATGAATCTAATTCGCACGTGGTGCCTGTAAGTCCTTGTCCTCCCGATATGATATGAATGTAATCTTTGAATTTTGTTATAACTAACCCACGCCGTGATTTGTAGAATGCAAGTGCACATTGTCAAACAAATGCTAAGTGTGCAAGCCAAGTATCTAGACCCTCAAGCTATAGCTCAAACAAATTTTAATTACCCTAAACAGTGGACATTGGATGCTAAAGAGCTAGCAGCTGCAAAGCCTCTTCGGGAGAAAGAGCGCATCCGTACGGCGAAACTAAGGGAAGAGTCCCTTAAGGTTGCGGCATACATTGCCCTGACTTTCAAAAATCTCCAACACACTCTACTATATGGCTACCATACAACTTCGAGTAAGTTCAACTCTATACTTAAAGCTTTGTTCGATATATTTTATTTGATGCAAAATAGTTTATCTAGTTCTATGATTAAATCCAAGCAGCAACCACTGGATTTGTATAACCATCGATGTCGGGAGGAGCATGGCTTGGGTCTTTGATTCAATAGATAGGGACCCGGTGACATACAAAGACTTCATATCGATTCTCAAGACGTATACATATCGACAATCCTCATTAGCTTATATGTTTGTATACGTACTTGTAACGTTCACTTTTGGATTCTAACAAGTTGTATTTGCTAAAATAATTCGAACAGGGCATTTAGGTTCTATGTCACTAATCATCACGGAAGGCATGATCCAGCAATGAAGGAAAAGCTGGCTATAAAAACACTATGTGCGGTAAGTGTAACTTACTTCTTCAGTACTCCGTTACATGGCTGTCAAAAGCATTACTTAACATTTTCATATGCAAAACACACAGTGCCCCAACCAGAAACCTGAAAGTGTACATTGTGGATACTATATATGCTCTATGATGAGTAACACCGGTGCCTACAGGAGACACCCCTTAAGGGTAAGTTTGAACCTCTTCACCCGTAGTATGAAAACTTCGTACATGGTATGAAATACTAAACCGAAACTTGTTCTCTTGTAGTGGAGAGAAGAAAAATGAATGAAAAGAGACCCATACAAGGATGATCAACTCTTAGAGCTCGTCGGCGACCTTTGCAACTTCATATTGGACCAGATTGTACACGTCAGAGGCATCTACCATGACCAAGAGTCTGACTTAGGTAGAAATCCTCAGTATCAACACCTTCGTGAGACTGAAAGGCTAGCTCTAGGATGTTGATAACAATGTGTATGGAATTTGTATATTTAATGATGGATTGTATATATTCTTGTGAATCAGACTTGTAATTGTAGTTTATATAATACTCTTGTGCTTGTAGTCGCGGTCGTGGGGCGTTCAGCAACGCGAACGTAGTTCGGAACGTTGGTCGCGGGACGTTCGGCAACGCGAACGCGGTTCGGAACGCTGGTCGCGGGGCGTTCGGCAACGCGAACGCGGTTCGGAACGTTGGTCGGGGGGCGTTCGGCAACGCGATTTGAATTGTAAATTTGAATTTTTTTTGCGGAAAAACGTACTATAGGGGCGGTTCTAGATTGAGCCGCCCCTACAAACAGGAGCCGCCCCTACAAATCGATTGTATGGGCGGCCTGGGAACCGTCCCTATAAATGCATGATTTGTAGAAATGGTTCGATAGGGGCGGCTAGCCAAACCGCCCCTACAAAGGATTACGAGCCGCCCCTAAAAATCGATTCTGTAGTAGTGTTTGGGGATTATCAAAGAAGTCTTTCATATACACTCCTATCCGAAATCTCTGAATCAATTCTCTGGCATTTGGTTACCAGGCAAGGGGCCCCTTCCTAGCAAATTGTAATGTTTGTATTTGCAGTTGGGCTTTATGGACCACTAGGAACAAGATGGCTGTTGAGAAAAAGCTACCAAGAACTCCAACTGACGTGGTGTATGTTGCGCTATCCTTACTGCAGAAGTGGATCATTATGCTGACCAGGAGTGCATCAAGCATGTGCTGGAGGACGTGAAGCAATAGATGAAGACTTTCAAGCCTAGCATTAGCATGGTGGAGATCTCGGATGTTGGCGAAATCTAGATCTTTTAGTGTTGCTAAGGAGTTGCAATCTGGTGTAGACTTTTGAGGCCTTCTGTTGTCTTTCGTTTATCTAGTTCTGTTATGGCCTTGTGTGGCATATCCTGGTAAACTGGTAACCACAGTCTTGTATCGAATATTTGCCATTTAACTTTTTGTTCTCCGTCTTTACGCCATTATCCTTATGTAGTGTTGAAAACATCTGACCTATTTTAACCATTCTCTTTGCTTTTTGTTTGCTAATAATCGAAGGAAAAATTCATACTAGGTCCGTAGCTCAAAATGGGCCTCCAAAATCGGGCCCAGACCCATTCAGAAAAGCCCACGTCTGTACCCTGTCCTTGCCGGATCCGTCGACCGTCTCCCCGTGGACGTGAAAGGGCCTTCCTCAAGAAGATGCTGCGCTGGCGTGCCGTCCTGCTCCTCCCACTCCCACTCCCTCCGCCGCCTCGCTTGCTTCGCCGCCTGCTGCACCCGCGCGCCCTCTCGTCCTCGTCCTCTTCCCCGCTCCCGCCACCGTGGATGGAGGCTTCCTAGAAGTTCGGGCCCTACAAGATCGTCGCTAGGGAGGTCTTCCACGCCACGCCCCTCTCCTACGCCATGGTGAATCTCCGGCCGCTGCTCCCGGGTGGGTAACACACATACCCATGCTCCCCCCCTTTCCACTTCACCTCTGATGGTTCTTGCTTGCTTCGTTGCTGTAGACGCAGCCACTCCCGAACTTACTGCACCGTAGCATTTTTTTAGCTTGGGAGTTGCTGGAACAGGAAGATTAGTCGTCGCGACAGAAAGTGGGGGAAAGTATAAAAGCCCCAGCTTTCTCGCGGAAATATGGTTGATGGAAATTAGATTGATCAAACGTTGGGTCCCAAAACGCTAAATAAAACTTGTGTATTCAGAATCATGCCCTGCTTCTAACAAATTCGGCAAGTTAACAGTGTACCACTGAACCATGACCAATGGGGATTGTTTCAGTAGGCAAGGATCAATGGATCATGGGCATTGCCTTCTGTTTTGGCTGGGAAACACAACCCAATTCCTGCAATCTCATGGTACTTTATCTAATCCCTGCCTAGTGCCTACAGAACAAGCTAATAACAGTGTCATTCTAGATTTCCTCCTGATGAAACCTGAGACTACTGGCTAGTCCTTCCCTTAGACATTGCATTTAAGCTTTGCATATCTCTAAATCACCACATTGCATTTCTTTCTTTTCTTTTCTTTTTTCTCATAGACACTGCATTTAACAATACGAATCTTTCTTATGCAGGTCATATCCTTTTATTTCAGCGAAGCTGGCACTATAATTTCTTGGAAGCTAGTTTTACAGTTTTTTCCACTCTGCAGGCACTGTCTAATGATTGCTCACTTCAGTATAGTTCATGAAGAGCACTGAAACAGATATGAAAGAAACTGAGCGATGGCATTTTTCGACAAACCTTTGCATTGGCTCTCTTATTTTTAGACCTGGTTATCTAGTCTGTCTAGGGGGATCAAGTTAGCTGTAGGTACTCATTTAGTGAGGACTCTGTTTTATCGAGCCACTGACTTCATATTTGGTTCATCTTTCCATGGAGACCATCTACAACTCTATGCCATGATTATCTGTTTTTCATATCATGCAACAGTTCCACTTGCAGAGTAACTGTATGCCTGCAACTCAAGTTGACTTTATTTAAGCAATTTTTTTTCTGTGACTCTCTGATTGGAATTGTTAAACATTTTTTGTTGTGTTGTCATTTGGTGCAAAGCTGTCATAACTCATAACCCACCTGAGTAAATTTATTTGACTCAAAGATTAATACATCACATGTTGAGGAAGATGTGTTCTTCTATATGCATCATTTTTTCCTTGACAATACATACATGTTCTTGTGTGCCCCAAGCGTGAAGTGAAAAGATTCGCTGATCTAAGCTCTGATGAGATTAGTGACTTATGGGTTACTGCAAAGGAAGTTGGTGCACGTCTTGAGCAGTACCATAAAGCATCGTCACTTACCTTTGCTATCCAGGTGTGGTCTGTGCTTCAGTTTTACTGTTGTAGTCAGCCCATCCTTCCATTACTCAGTACTAAAATTATACAGTATAAAAAAGTGCCCAATTTGGGTGTCTAAAACGTAAATATGATGAATATTGTGGAAAATATCATATATGTTTATACTATGTCATACAGGCTATGCTAACTCCATTTTGTTCTTTTACTATTCATACCATTGATTAGCTTGTTATGGACTTATATTTGTTATATTATATTCTATGATGATGCCATGAGGTTTCTTATTAACAAGTGATATTACTTGTCAGGATGGTCCTCAAGCTGGCCAAACAGTTGCACATGTCCACATTCACCTCATCCCAAGGAAGAAAGGGGATTTTGAGAAAAATGATGAAATATATGACGCGGTTTGTGGCCCATTTTTCTATTAATCTGGTTATTTTATTACAATATCCAATCAAACAAATCTTACCCTTTTCCTTGCTATGATAGATTGATGTGAAAGAGAAAGAACTGAAGGAGAAGCTTGATCTGGACATTGAGAGGAAAGATAGAACCATGGATGAAATGGCTCAGGAGGCCAATGAGTACCGTGCTCTTTTCTCCTAGAATTACATGATAGTATAGTAGTAGGGATGAAAACGGATCGGATACGGACGGATATCACCGATATTACATTTGTTTTCATATTTCTGTCCGGATTCGGATTCGGATTCGAATACGGATAGTGTCAACTATGTCGGATAGGATACGATTGGATATCGACATCATAAATATACGATTTGAGTATTCGGATACGGATACGGTATCGGATGTTGGATATCCGGACTCGGATACGGACAGATCTCAACCCCTCTAAACGGATTCGGTTTCGAATACGGTCGGAAAATATCCGTACCGTTTTCATCCCTATATAGTAGTTAGTTTCTAAGTTGAGCTGACTGTGTGCTAGAAATAAGGCTTGCTACTTGTCCTTCGTTGTTGCAGTTCAGTTATGATTGCGCACTGACATTGTGATGGTGTCCAGTTCTGGTGTTATGTTCTGTACTGTGGAGAAATAATCATTTGTTGCAAGGAATGCATTCCTAATGCCAACTCTTTTAGATAGATTAGAAACTATTTTTTTGTGTGTACTACAGAGCGTTAACTGTTTTCTGGAAGAATTATGTCTTTACTGCAATCTTTTTCTTTGTGGAATTGTAAGAGAGGATGTACCATTAGTCACAAATTACCCCTTCAGCAGTTTATGCAGGATTAGTTAAATTAGATGTCCATCTACTGTTAAACAGAATTGATTAGGACAGAAGATTGCGTTTAGTTCTTTAGTAGCGTGCTAAAGTTTTATTCTAGTGCCAACTGTCCATTATGTTTTGTTCTGTGCTAGGAGAATCTTGGTTGACTGACTGTAGCCTTTTCACTGAATAAGTTATTTATTTGGATGATGCTTCTGTCCAAATATCAAAAGTTGATCTGATTCATGAATGCAAGATTCTGATCCTCTCTAGCTGTTGTAGGCCTAGTTAAGCTTTATTCCATGCCCCCTGCTGATGCTTATGTTGTACAGTAAGTTTTTAACAACTCAAATGTTCTGATTAAAATCATGCTGATTGTTTCATTGACTTTTGTTTCATTGACAACTCAAATGTTCTGATTAAAATCATGCTTATGTTGTACAGTAAGTTCTTAACTGGAAAGATCTTCAACCCCCCCAACTTTTACTGATTTGCGTCTTGGATTTCATTGACTTTAGTCACTTTCATCCTTTCCGTTGCGCTCTGTTTGCTTGGTATCTGGAATTCGAACTTTGTTTTATTGGATTGGATGCCCCTTGCGGCAGGCCATTGTCCATTGGCATGATGGGATGACCTGGGCTAAATAGCTCTTAATCCATCAAGCTTTGTGTCGCGAATAGTGGTCTGGCACCATTTGTAGTGATGAAAATGTACATGTTGCCAAATGGCCAGTCTACTGGTCAGGGTCAGGGTGTTGCTATGCTGTCTCCTGTCGCCATCGGAAGACATTGCCGCTGGACTAGGTCACCTGCAACTGCAAGCCTGCAACAACTAGTTTCTGGTTACAATTGTGTGCTTGCCCTGGCGTACTTGACATGTGCAAACAAGTGGTTGCTTTTGTGGTGGGAATCCAGACTGTTGCTTTATAGTGTTGTTGAAAATCAGAAAATGCTGTGGGGATAAGCATGCCCTATCAGATGCTGCTGATCAGGAGATGCAGCATTGTCAGAAGTGGTTGCTGCAAGAATTCAGTACTTTTCTTCAGGTACCCTCATTCCTCCACTAGGTGCTAGCAATTAGCAAATGCATGTCATTTTCGCCAGTCCTTTTGCATCCTGAGGTCACACTGTCTATGCGTACCTTCGTCAAGACAAAACTCTTCAGGCATCCTGAAGGAACACAGAAAAATGCTCTAGAGTCGTCGTTGCTTTGATGCATGATCTGCTACTGCTACGGTTTACATGTCTGTCTGTCTCGCCATGAACTGCCTACTGTGAAGAGCACACCATGGGCGTGTACTGCCTGCGACAGATCCTGTCCATGATGACGACGATCGCCATGACTGTGGCCACGTCGACGCCCGGCTGGACGACGAGGCTGAACACGTCATCCCCGAGCGTGGCCACCGGCCTGGACGCCACGCCGGCGCTCTTCCTCGTTATCCGCGCCACCTCCCTGCCGTCGCTGCCATGCCGAATCTTGCAGCTCCGCCTCGAGAAGGAGCCCTCCACTCGGTAGCCTGGAACGGTGGCCACGGCCTGCGGTTGCTTGCAGCTGAGGGTCGACGACGACGAGGACGCAGCAGCAGCAGAGCCTGCTCTTGAGGATGACATGTGGACCTCTGCGTTGTCGCTGCTGCTACGCAGAGCTGAGCACCTGCTCATCGTGAAGACTTGCTGCTGCGCCGGCGACGTGGAAGACGCCTTCTTGTCGACGGCGGCGTCTTCCGTTGCCGTGTAGCAGTTCCATCGGTCGTGCAGGCTGAGAAGCTGTTACACACCATTTTTTTTCACCCTGATTAGCTACCTGCCGTCGTTTTGCTTAGTAGTAAAAAACTAACAGTAAAATTACAGATCAGAGGTTGTGTCAATTTGTGCTTTCCATCGGTGTTGCACTAAACCCCGTTCGATCGATCGTATCTTATCAGTCATGATACAGTGTTTTTTTCTCACAACAAAACAGCATCAGCTGGCTTATAAGCCACAGAAACGATCAAGCGAACAGGATGAAAGTGTACACATAAAATGTTTTTAATTGGGGTAAGAGTAAGACATCGTCTCTGTTCGGCTGGTATATAAGCCGTTTATACTGATTTGTACGGCTGATTTATTGGGAAAGAAAAATATTGTACTATGGCTGATAAACCGCTTGTGCTGATTTGTACGGCTGATCACTTTTAAGTTGGGCCGCGTTTAGTTCGGCCACCGAATCGGCGCCGCCGGATTCGGTGCGCACTGTAGCTACTGTAGCGTTTTGTTTTTATTTGTTAATAATTGTCCAATCGTTGACTAATTAGGCTTAAAACGTTCGTCTCGTAAAGTACAAATAAACTGTGTAATTAGTTTTTAATTTCGTCAACATATAATACTCCATGCATGTACCGCAAATTTGATGTGATGGAGAATCTTCTTTTTGTATAGTGCCAAAATCTGGAATTTTGGGTAACTAAACGTGGCCTTGCTTGTTTTTTTGTACCTAATCTATTCTTGTTTTTTTCACTTGGCCCAAGTTAAATCTTCTAACGCACGACTCAGGAAATCTTTGATTAATCTGGGGCTACTAGTGTATTCGACAAATAGGGATGTCATTTTAGGGGTAAGAGGGGGAAAACAAAGGACTGTAAAGTTGATGACGTTAGTTCCGTGCCGTGGACTGAAAATTTGTTTGACCAAGCTTCAACAGTGGCTAATCTAGTTTGCACGTTGTACTTGCGCCAAGACATTAATGAGCAGAGGAAAATGAACATCATAAACGATAACCTTGATTTGTGGTTGTGTTTTTGCTTAGTCAAAAACTGATGGCGAAAAATTAAGAATAGAGACCAAGGATTAGGACTTTATTTCGAGATCATTTTGTGCTTTTGGCACAACTGGTGGGTGGCCTTGCAACTTGCGGCGAAAAAGTTACTGGGTTAAGATAAAAAACACATGTGTGGCGACTGACTAAGACCCATAATAGTGCTTTTCTTGTGAAAGCATTTTTGTTTGGTTGTTTTTGTCGGTAATTCCATTTCTTTGTCTGGTTACTTGTCCTATTGGTTGGCCTAAAAATCTTCTGCCGAGTCACCAAATCTTTAAGTAATTGGAGTGATCGCTCATTGAACAAAATTTGGGCAGTCATTTTCTGAGAAAGGGAAAAATGGGATGGCGTGATCATCATGTCAGTAATGGAAATTGCGAAATTTAATCTGTGATTACTACATGCATGTGGACTGTAGCTTATTCGGTCGATGTTTAAGGACTGGAAACCAAATTTACATTTCCTACGTATCCCTTGCATGGCTTCCAAGGAATTGATCGAAATTCGAAAGTGAGCCAAAAAAAAAAGAACTTTGTAACCAGCAGTGCACGTATGTATATGGTGTTGGATGTGCAAATCATAGGATGAAATAAAACTGTTTTCTTTCATCAAGCAAACAAGACAATAAGTTAAGAGAATAATTATATACTATCATCTGTGTACGTGATCGATAATAAGCAGCTAGTTAGTAAGTAAATGAGCGTAGTATGTAACTATGTATACCTGTGGCCTGAGGGAGAGGAGAGGCGTGCCCTGGCCATCCATGAGCAGCAGCTCGCCGGCGCAGAGCTTCCGGCGGCGGGAATAGTTGTCGACGCGGAACGCTAGCCTGCCGGCGGCGTCGTAGACGCAGAAGCCGTCGGTGCCCTGGAAGCCCATGCTGGACCTCTTCCACACCGTGTACACCGCCGACCGGCGTTCCCGTTCCGCCGCCGCAGCCCGACGACGGGCACGGCCGCCGGCGTCCGAAGACGAAGGGTGTATCCGTGTACTCATGCTAGGAGGGAGATGATGGATCGATGGATGAAGAAGAAGAAAAAGAAGAAGTACAGAAGGTGGTGGTGGTGCGTGGTACGTGTGGCGAGAGCAAGGAGAGGGTATATAGGATTGACGTGAGGGAGCAGGCAGGTGTCTGGAATGGGAACAAGTGAAAAGGCTAAGCTGTGGCGCCAAAACGAGTCGCCATCCGTGGCTAGCTTTCAGGATTTATTCACATGGCGTACGTATACGGATGCTTGTTGAAATGAATCCTGGATGCCGATGCGGCGATGCCTACCGTGCGTGCTGGAGCTGCTGGACCAGACGTAAGAATCGCCCCTCCCCCCCACCTGATGCCGGTGATGCCGGTGCAAGACAGCAAGAGAGTCTTCGGAGTACGGCTCCGACGACCTCCGGCCTTCTAGCGTTCATTCAAATAGACAGATGTACTATAGTTTAATTTGTATGGTTTAAACTTTAAACACGCGCGTGTGCTTTGAACTTTGAAGAGCAAGGTTTGTGAATGTGTGATAGGGGAGCATTTGTGCCGTACGTGATGGCGTGTATCATTTTGTAGCCTTGAGACCACAAGATTATTAT